GACCCCGAGCTGCTGCTACCCAGCCTTAGGAGAGGAAGGCAAATGGGAGCCCTAGCACGACGTGGTTCTCTCTTCTCGTCGTGACTGTATGCCAGGTTGGTCCCTAGGAAACCACGCATCTCTGCAGGTTGACCAGCTCCCAAGCAAGCAGGGGAAGGAATAAAGTCATACCTACAGAAACCAGGGTCTACTCGCCATTCTCATATGACCTGCCTACACCTGGACTGCTGTTGTGAATGGAAGTATGTTCTTCTTGAAGATGCCCTGTCTCTCCAGTCTCAGAACCCCACAGCCCTTTCTTTCTATGTCACATCATGCCCATGCTAGAGCCACATATGTGCCTCTCTTGGTCCCACTGTAGCTACGTTCCTTAATGACAAAGACTGTGCCTTCTAGAACTCTGTGTCTCCTGTCACGCCCAGCCTGTGGAGTGGCGAGACTCCTAAGTTGCAGAAGAACAACTGAGTTGCAACCGTAAACATCAGAAGAAGAGAAGGCCAGGACCAATTTCACAGATTCATTGACTAAAACGGCATCTACTCAGAATCGTAGAACTAAGCTAGACAGGCCTTCAGAAATGGGCTAGTCTTATACTTTACAAGAAGAGTGCCTTAAAAATGGTTTTAGAGCCCCCTGGCATGCACCACGGTGACCATGAGTGCCTGCATGCACGGTGGCCAAGAGTGAAGGCTATGAATTCAAGCAAGACCCAGGTCGAAATTCTACTTGACCCCTCTAGCTGTACAACCTCTCTTAGGCCGTTGTCCTGTCTCTCCAAACTCTAGATGGGAATGGGCTCGACCTCAGAGTGTGCTGTGAAAATTAAGGCCCATGTCTATACAGCGACCAACAACAGGCCTGTACAAAAAAGCTTTGGGAAAATACTGTCCAGCGAGTACTACTGATGAGGGCACACTGAAGGTGGTGTTGGCTACCCTTCCAGTATCTTCTAATCGGATTCCCAGAGGGGAAATGCATCCGCAGACTGTGCTCCTTATTTCAAAGGCAAGATGTTCATTATGAGGCAAGAGCGTATGGGTGTTTTCTGGCCAACGTTCTGTCAGGCGAAACGCCCTTCTTAAAAATGTGGTATTCAGGGGCGCCTGGGTGGCGCAGTCGGTTAAGCGTCCGACTTCAGCCAGGTCACGATCTCGTGGTCCGTGAGTTCGAGCCCCGCGTCAGGCTCTGGGCTGATGGCTCGGAGCCTGGAGCCTGTTTCCGATTCTGTGTCTCCCTCTCTCTCTGCCCCTCCCCCGTTCATGCTCTGTCTCTCTCTGTCCCAAAAATAAATAAACGTTGGAAAAAAAAAAATGTGGTATTCAATTAATAAACATATTTGTTATCTCTTTTGAGAAAAACCATTACTCTATCATGCTAATAAATAAGAATGCCTACAGAAGAGCTGAAAGTTAAATAAAAAGAGCTGGAGATGACCAAGGGCATTCCAGAATCAGGGTGAGGGCCTTGAAGTCAGAGTTCGTATCAATCAAACACCAACCGACCCAAATAGAAAATGTCCCTTAGACTTTCCCCTCCCCCTGTGATCAGAGCTCACTTTAAAAAAAAAAAAAAAATTTAAGTTTATTTATTTATTTTGAGAGAGACAGAGATAGCATGCGTGGGGGAGGGGCTGCGAGAGCCGGAGAGAGAGAGAGAGAATCCCAAGCAGGTTCTGTGCTGCCAGCACAGAGCCCAATGCAGGGCTCGAACCCACAGAGCTGTGAGATCGTGACCTGAGCCAAAACCAAAAGTTGGACGCCTGATCGACTCAGACACCTGGGCGCTACAGCTCCCACTTCCATAAAGAGGTCTTTAAGGATTGTGCTA